CAGCGGGGCTCGATTACAGGATTAAAAATACCGCCCCCACCTCACCTCCCCCTCCCCCCTCGCCCGGGCGGACGGGGAAACTGGGACTGGCCCGGGTCTCACCCTGGCGAGCCGCCCCTGACACAGCCCGTCCATATAAGAGTTACAGGGATTATTTCACACCGGACCCGTTAACTATCCCAAAGGAGAGGCTGGCAGGGATGACTTTGAGTTTTAATTCAAGTGACCTTTCCATATTTTGGTGTGTAACAAGCCCGTTTGTTGTCCTTTAACGTGTTCGAACACATGTAAAATTTTAACTTCAGGACTATTGAAGATCCCAGGCTAGGATTAAATATTCTTGTTAGGTTAGTTGTTTCTGCACAGGCGTTAACTCCGGAGTTAACCGGCAGTTTAAAAAACAGCAACTAGGCGATTCTAAAGCTTCACTGTGCAGTAGGGTAAGTGCCGCAGGCAGTTAGGCGTAAGCAGAGCAAGGAGGATGGGCCAGGTATACAAGGTCACCAGGGTGGAAAGCCCTGGTTCCCTGGCAAAGGATAGTCGTAGGGTGGGATCTCCTCCCTAGGGTGACTTTTTCTCCCCTGACATATTGCTGGTCATGCAGTTTGGACCCCCTGAGCTTTCCTCCCTGGAGGTAACATCTAGGCTCAGTTGTATTTCAGTTTCAGGCCCAGAAAAGCAGCAAAACCAGACCAGCTGCAGTGAATAATAATCCCCTGCCCTGGTATAGGCCAGTCAGTGGAAACCATAACCCTGAAAGGACACACTTGGAAAACTGCTGAATATTCTACTGAAAACTTCCCGTGGGACCTCCCCTAAAAACTCCACCCTTAGCCCAGTCAGTGGTTCAGAGTCAACTCATGAATCAGGAGGTCACGTTTGGATTCTCTGTCAGGGCACAGGCTCTGTCAGGTTGCAGGCTCAATCCCCAGTAGGGGGCATGCAGGAGGCAGCAGATCAATGACTTTCTCTCACGATTGATGTTTCTGTCTCTCCCTCTTCCTTCCTCTTTCTGAAATCAAAACAAAAACAAAAACTCCACTCTTAAAATCCTTAGGACAGCGGACCCAGAGCTCTTCCCCCTCCTGGGAGCACACCTGTGCCCCCCCCCCCAGGCATATCACCTTGACCTTCATTACTTGGAAGCACCAAGGGCCCTATCTGTGCTTCTATAATTTGTTTCCTAAATCCATTTCTTCTATGAATTTCTTCTTCTACCTCTGTGATTTTAGAAGTAAATGTTCTCTTATAGTTTGAGTCCTGACTCTGCATTCTTTCCTAACCAGAACTCAAGTACCGAGGTTGCTGAACTCAGGCCTGGTCTGACCCCACTGGTCTAACACTAGGTGCCATTCCCACCACCACCAACAGTACAGTGCTGTGACTCAGATTGTGTGGCAGGATTCCAGAGAAGCCCACCCAGGACCACCTTGCAGACCCAGACCAGTGCTAGGTACCAGCAGGGACCCATTGTGCCCCACTGGCTTCTTGCTTTTCATGGGGTAGACTTTGGTGAGTTTCTGGGAATTCTGGACCTCTTTGTTTCAAGATAAGAGGCTGACTTTCTTTGAACTGTTTTTTGTTTGTTTGTTTTAATTCTTGTGGTGAAGCTAAAGGTTAAGGGTAGAGAGACCCTAGGCTAAAGATAAGAACTGAGATAACAAAGGACAGAGGAAAAAAATGGATGGTTACTTTTTAACTTTGGCTTTTCAATTGGAATTGCTTTCTGAGGGTCTGAACAAAATCGTTTGCTGGATAAATGAGAGCTTCAGCTAGTTTGGCTCCAAGGATAAGGGGCAGCTTCTCGCTCCCTACTAGGTCCCTTAAAGGACCAGTGCTCTTGGGAACATGAAAGACAGAGCAACAGGTCACTAGCCCAACTACTAAAGATGAGAGTTGTGGGATGAGTTTTTTAGGTATCCCTTGTATGGACAGATATGATAGGAGGGACCTCCGGTAAAGCTAGCTAAGTCCAGAGGCAGACAAGCAGGGATGCCTCACTTGCAATTGGCTTCATGTACATTGGAGTCCACCTGTCTGAGTGGAGTAAGTCCATCACTACAGTGCCTGACTACTAGAGACTAGAGTTGTAGGACAAGTTTTTCATTTGAGGTGACAAAGGTACCAGGCGCTCCTTATACAGACAGACACAATAGAGGGAATCCCTGGTAAGGCTGGCAAAGGCCAGAGGTCATCAAATGAGGGACGCCTCACTTGAATGGGCTATATTTGTTGGGGCATTGGGTGCCTACAGGATTGGGATGCTGGGTGACTGCAGGATTTGGGTCACGGGGTGCCTGCAGATGTCCCAAAATAGCCCAGACTAGCAATGACACCTCTTAACTCTTGGCTTGGAACATATCTGTCTCTCTATAGATGGGGAACCAGTCCACAGTACCTCAAGGTACCCTTTTGGGATGCATGTATGCCAACTGGGAGAAATTTGGCCTTGAGTCCCTCAAGGTTCTTTTGCAACATAACCTGGCCCCACTATAAAATAGGCAATGGAAACGTTTGGCCACTTAATGGCACCATTAAGTTTGATACTACCCTACAACTAGACCTGTTTTGCTCTTCCAAAGGGAAGAGGATGGAGGATGAGGACTCCTTAGATTAGTGTCTTCTCCATACAGCCAGGTCTTTATGGCTCTCAGAGATGACCCTCAGTTACGTACCACTGGTAAACTAGATCTCTGTAATTGCTACACAGCCTAAAAGAAAATATAGCCAGATGGGGAAAAAAAAAATAAATTCCAAAAATGGGTGAAAGAATTTGTCAGGCCTTTGCCAATATTTGCCAGTCCTTTGCCAACATTTCACAATTCTTGAAATATTAAAAACAACTGTCCTGGCCTGGTTGGGCGTGGCTCAGCGGTTGACCATCGACCTAGGATCCAGGAGATCGCGGTTGGATTCCCAGTCAGGGCACATGCCCAGGTTTTGGGCTCAATCCCCAGTTGGGCACCTGCAGGAGGCAGCCGATCAATGACTCTCTCATCATTGATGTTTCCATCTCTCTTTCCCTGAAATCAATAACAATATATATGTTTTTTAAATGATAAAAACAACTGTCCTAAAGTCTTACAGGGCCAGAAGTGTGGCTCCAGAAACAATTCAAAGCCCACCAAATCTTATCTGAGCCACCTTTATTTTTTTTTAATCCTCACCAGAAGATATTTTTTCCTTTGCTTTTCAGAGAGAGTGGAAGGGAGAAGAGGGGAAAGGGGAGAAACATCCATGTGATGTAAACATCGATTAGTTGCCTTCCACATGTGCCTCTACCGGGGCCAGGGATTGAGCCTTCAACCTAGGTACAGCCTGCCCTTGACCAGAATTGAACCTGAGATCCTTTGGTCCACAGGCTGATACTCTAACCACTGAGTCAGACTGGCTAGGGCTGAGCCATCTTTTAAAATGCAAGTTTCTGGGAGGTAATCCTCATTAAAAGGAAAAAAAACCGTAGCCACCTGAATATGTGGAATTAAGTTATTTCAGCTGTTAAACATTGATTACTGGACAAGTCTTAAGGTCACCTACTTTTGGCTTTTTTACAGAAAAGCTAGAAAACACACTTGAAGCCTTCAGTGAATGTCATACTTTATTAGAAGTATGTCTCTTAAAAGTGTGAATGTTTGCCAATGGAGGACCCTATTTCTAGAAGTTATGAAATGTCCTTGCCAATCTAAAGGATGCTAATTATTTACTTTTTAGTGGTCACTAAAAAAAAAAAAATAAAGGTTTCTAAGAGTTAAGAATTCTAATTAATTGGGAAGAAATTTTATGGTTTTGGTGCTAGAAGGTATAAGGTTTAGAGATATTTTTTGAAGGAAAAGGAAGTTGTTCTAAAGCTGATTATTTCTGAATGGGTAATAAGATTTGTGAAAGTTATAGAGAGGTTGTGAAGAGAAATCTTGAAAGGAAATTATAGGCTAGCTGAATAATGAATTTAATTAAATAAATAAACTTAAAGATCAAAAGTAAGCTAATACAAAGTTGGAGTTTGGTTCTTTTCCACTTTGTTAAAAGGACAAGGATTTTCCTCTTGCTTTTCATATAGAAGGAGACATTTTAAAAGCAATTTGGTAAATTATATATTTTTCTCCCTACCTGATCCCTCCAAAATTTGACAATTCCTAATGAGTGAGTCATGGCAATATGTTTCTTTGTGTGACTTCAGTAAGACCACTTTCCAATTGTGGTTTTATTAACCAAGACCTTGACTACAATGTCATGTCTGAGAGAGACATGCCTGGACTC